TGAATTGAATTGATATAAGATATTACGCAATCTTAAAGTAGATGTTTTACCCATAACTACTTTCTAGAATATTCTGATGATATCTGATTATATTCCCTATGTATATTATTTGTATAATTATATATAATAGTTTATTTTTGCTTATTTAACCAAATATTTTTGGGAGAATATCAGAGTTTATAGCAAGTATCTGTGTACAGTATATTCTAGCAGATTTAGAAGCATTAGTTATTTCTGGAGCAATTCAGGTGGTAAGTCATTCATTATTTGCAGTGACATGACGATCAGTAATAGGGATGTGATCTTAGAGATGGGGGTGCTGCTAAATCGAGACCAAAATTGCATTCCACCCCGGATAAGAATAGCCTTTTTGGAAAGCAATGGTGTGTGAAATTCAATGGAAACTTCACGTCTACTTATATCATTATTAGAAAATTCAACTCAGTCCCCTTATGACCCTAAACTAAATAGGATGAATATGTTTCATATATATGATCCCCTGGTAGTCTAAAAAGCCTACTTTACAACGAAAAATACCTTTTATTTTGTATTAAGGGGCGAGTGGAAGGGATTAGTAAGTTAGTCTCATCGGAAGTTGAAGGGGGCTTTCTCGTCTTTGCGCTTGGTGAATTATCGTAAAGCATGACGTGCTCTGACGACGTCCATCACATTCCGGAAGAATGCTCAGCAAGGATTTTTCGGGTTCGCGGGACGGTGAGCCGAAAACTTATTCGTACAAATCTACTTTCACAACTACAAGGTAATTCTACTTCAACTTTGTATTAAGCCAATCTACAAATCCTCTCCACTTGTCTCTTCAAATGTAATGAAAGGTGCTCCAACACAAGAGATTTCTCCCAAACCAGTTTTTCTACATATAGTGATGTGATGTCCTTTTGGCGGATGGATGAGAATAATTGTTAATATATGAGGTGTATTCATTATATTTCGTTTAGGGAGATAAGAAGACTAGTAGTTGAATCTTCCCATGCTGATATGAGTAAATACGACGATTTCATTGAATTACACATGGTCTGCAGTTTCGACCTCGCCTAGGTCTTATCAACATTTGTGGAACTCAAACCATGAAACTGCAGCGTTAACCACCATGCTACATTGACACGAGTCCTCTTAGGTCATAAGGCAGACGTGAATTTCAGGGAAGGCCAGGCATTTTTACCGTATCACATTCTGTGATGGGATTGTCAATAAAGCAAAGCTGTATTTGTTATAACATTCGATTATTTTGCTTATTTATCGTTTATAAGCGGGCTTTCTAGACTTTCAGTAGATCATATATATGGTATGTATTCATCCTCATATATATGATCTACTGGTTGTCCCGAAACGATGCTACGAATATCTATATCCCTATATCTGTCCATATATACACCATCATGGCCTTCATATCTAAATGCTGCTCATTTCAATTTTTAATATGTTTATCATTTCGATCATATTAAGATGAATAAGTTTTTACCTTTATGTTACTGCGCTGGATACTCTACATACTCAGGAAAATCAATTTTTTTTTCATAGCCTTATTGAGGAGAATCCATTTCCTTTACCTTTTTTATTTTGTACAATTATCATTACTGTATTTGTATTATGATTCATTTATTTTGTTGTTCTTTTTTCTTTGCCATATTGTTTTGTATTTGCGACTATCAAGATAATACTGAAGTCTGGTATATTTTCTCTATCAGAGCATAACTAGTTTTGATTGTCATCACTATGCGTCTCTCCGAAAATATAATTGGGTGATGGATAAAACCTATTGGAGAGTATTTAACAAACTATTATTGTTCATATTACGTCTTGTTTGCACTTTTTAGACTAAATAATGACCTCTTTTGTCATGAATTCTAGGCACAATTTGCGCTGAAGATAATTTGCATTTTTTTACAATTTGATTTAATTTAAGTACTGTTCATTATGTCCTATCGCTTACTTTTAACTATCGATTTTATAAGTCATCCTACACGGTTGACGTGCTTATACTGGCTCTAATATACTTAAATCACTCTTATACTAATATACTTTTTCTACGATTCATTTCTTAATTCCCCTTCCTAGTCGCGTAGCCTACATGCCATCTTTATTTTGTCGCTCTTTACTTTATCCTTGCATCCCCCAAAAAAGATTCATTCATTTTTTCTCTGTAAGCAGATTCCTTATGCGGAAGCATTTTTAAATTTCTTTATCAATCCACGATCTTCAGGCTTTACTGCTTTTGTATAAACCTTGTTGGATGCGTTTATCTGGACCCTTTGCGCCTTACATATCATTAAGGAGACTTATTTCGTATGAAAATACTTGATGAAAAGATTCCTTAATTGATCTCACCGGAAGTCGATGACCGATTATCCTTTTACAGACGTTTGGCTTTAATACAAGTCTATAAGTTCACATTACGTTATGTCAGTAATAGTTGTTTACTGTCTTGTTCAAAGTGATCCGGACCTGACGTTAGGCTTTTGTAATCACTCTGATTTAGGAGCGGTATCGTGTATTGATGTTAAAGCACATACAGACACTCAAGTAAATGTCCAATAACCAATATGTAAGAGGAATATCCAAATAACTATATCTTTCTATTTATATCTATGTATTTTCGTTTTTAGTTATAGGTTTATATAAGACGTAAAACAGAGCCGGGCAATCTTCTGTACATATTATTAACTTGAGAATTTGAGAAAAATGAGTTTCAGCTCTGATGCTGTCCATCAGTTAATGGACGAAAGATTGGTCCGGCTTTACTCGAAATGGTGGTGGACGTCTCGTGTATAGCGTGAATAGTGTATTAATGTCAAACATTGGCATAACAACGAGAATTTTCCGCCTTATTCTGATGAGCTTATACAATGAATCTCTTCATCATGCAGTTTCATATGTAGTAAAAGTCTCCTTAACAATATTATCTTAAGAGATTAATGGAGAACCAGTTACTCTTTGTATCTGCACGTTATATATTGGTTATGTATTTGACTTTGTGTCTTTTTCATTATATACTAATTGAATAGGTATAAAAAATATCTGCTTATATCGAATGATAATGAAAGTCACCGCTGTATTTTTATTAAGGTGGTCTAAGGACTGATAATTGACTTTCTGACTACGAAGTGAATTGATGACCTGTTGCTAACATTAAACTTCATATAGCTGAAAGCTTTTATACAGGCTAAACAGTAGTTTATAATTCGCATATATTTCCTTAACACTGTTAGAAACCGGTTCGTGTTCGCCAAATTACCACTGTCACACTGCAGAGTAATGCTAAAACCAAGGTGAGCGCAGATCCACAGCTTACCTTGGATGAAATAGGATCTTTATTCACTCTATGTTATATAGGGATGCTAGCCAATTTTCCCACAATACTATGAATAAGTCTTATGATATCATTGACTTTCTTTTAGCCTTCCTCCCAAAGTTATTCTCATCCAGATTGGACTGCAGTTTCGACCTTGCCTTGGTCTCACCAACACACCCAATGAGAATCATAGGGATTACTTGTCAAAAATATGCACTACACTATTCGAGTAAGATTCCCATTGGGGTCGCAAATGAGACCCTGGCGGAGCATAGACTTCAGTCCACCCTTGCTGGGAATTCTTTTTGTGAGGCAGGGATAAGATAAATTAAATAACATTATATGTAGAACTAATATCATAATTGCAAAATTCACTATTAGTACTTCATCGTCTTAAGCGACCTAGAGCAAATACAGTTCTTATTCGAAAACCACATATAGT